TTTTGATCAAAATTGATTTTTGTTCAAGAACAAAATGATTAAGTTTACAACAAAGTGCATTGTAGATGATTCAGCACTGTTTCTATCATAAAAATTCAACTGAAAAACATGTAGTAACAAGACCACCTTGGTGGAATACAATTAAATTACTTAACCGTAAAATTTGTGATTACTCCCAGCATGCAGTATAATAGCATCGGAACTCCTTCCCAAACAAGGTTGAAACTCTTATGGAAATAAGGTCATAAAAAATATTAATAATTATAACCATGATGAAATTGAGAATTTTTTATCTGGTATAAACAGAAGCTTTACATGACCAGCTATGCGGGTTAATGAACCAGTGTCTGGGGCATTCATTCGTAGTGAATATCTTTCTTGGAGCAAATCACCTGTGAAAGTGTTTATTCCTGATAACAAGGCACCGAAGCATGCAACATGGAGACTGCGGTCTGTATTGCTCCAAATCAGTTCCACATCAAGATTTGTGCAATGGTCTGGAGAATTTGTTTTGTGACGTCTGCTTGGCGGCCATGTTTAATCAGCAGCCACTGAGGAAGCACTGTGTTCACTTTTGTCGACCATTATCACTAGTATGGTCCAATTCCTACAGAAAATGGGAAAATAAGAGCCGTGCTTGTATTGCCAGACTCAAAAAAGATTAAAAACTATGTTTTATTGTTTTTGGTATTGTGTGAGTATTGATCATTGTGCTTCAACAATCTATAGGAGTGCCTTTATAGGTTTAGGATTCTGCAGCAATTCTAAGTAATCTTTATGTAGGAAATCAGGTTGTTAAATTGAAAATCAATACATTAATTGAGTGAAAATTGCAGTTTTATGGCCATAATTTAATTTGGTTAGTAATAACTACATGTTTGCTTGCCAGTATTTGAAGTGCAACACTGAAGATCCAAATGTTGGTTTAGCAACAAAAATAACATGATAATCAAGTCAAAATTCATTTAAGATATTGCTAAATCGGATTTGATAAGATTAGAAACGCCAATGCCTATTTGCAGGGCAGGAACTACTTTAATTGAAAATCTTTACTATTTTTTAAACCATGATGAAAATATATTGAATAACTCCAAATCGATTTTTGTGGAAAAGGTTTATTATACATATCATGTGCTTTGATTCCAATTTTAATTAAGGTCTAATGGTTATCAAAGCTTTCAGGTGGAATAATTGGCCAGACATTCGCTCCAATTTGGTGAACCTGTTTCAGAAAGACAGTCTTGTTTTTACGATGCTTTCATGGACTCATGCTGGTGATAGTCGTCAGGGAACTAGTATATGGCTCCTTCTCGACAATCATCTTCTGTTCATATGGTGGTGTCCATTTGGCAAATCTACTGTTCTGTTGGTGATGTGTGGTAGTTGGGCTTCATGATGGACTCTGTTAATGTGACCGAGAGCTCTATCTTTACTTAATGAAACATCAATGTGCCTGCGTATGAATATCAGCCAGAGACAGTCCTCACGAGGGATTCTGTATAAGCAAACATGGCTGATGATACAGAATTACCCATGATGCCTCAGTCTTGCTGGTACAACTCAATGTACAATTAGCGTCTACAAGTTATTTGGGAAAGGTAAACAAAAACTTGCCGTCATGCATTATCTTGGTGAGCTATGCTCATCGGTCCAGCTTCATCATTGAGGGTCCATTAGGGATACAGTATGAAGATTCGGGTCTCAAAGATGGCTCCCGCCTTTGATGGTCGGAATGGCATTTTAGATGGGCTGTACCAATATTAGCGGATTCTCCAAAGTCACTTCTCTCTGTTTTGCTGAGATCCACCTCTTAGTTATTTCAACAGTGAAACTCGGATTATAGTGCTTTTGAGCCCGATGAGACAGAAGATGCAAGGGTAGAAACAGTGTTGATAGAAGTTTGGCAAATAGTATCCATGGTAATAATCGGCAGAATTTGTGATTTGAAACTTCAGTGCTACCTGAATTTGAAATTTGTTCAGGGTAATGAGGCATAAACTGTTTAATATTTTCACTTTCATATCATCATTTTCTTATTTCTAGATCGGGGAAGGGGGGATGGTAATGTAAGGGGGATAATTGATCTAGCCTGTCATTAAAGGGTTCAAATTCTGCAAATTTGAAATGCTGGATGGGTTAAGTATCAGGCTACATCTTTAGATTAATAGTGAGAATGTGTGTTTGCAGAGTTCAGAAAAGGCAACAGTTGGCTTTTAAGATTCCTTTTAACTTCAGAACCAAACTGAAACAAATGTATGGATTATTTTATAAGTCTGGACAAAGAATCACTTCAGAAATCACATACTGTTGCAACATCTTTGATGTCAATACAGAAGAAATGATAGTGTATTCTTGTTATGAAAATTATATATGATGTTCATTAAAGCTTCAGAGATGTTCAAGAGGTTAAATTTGGCATCATAGACATTTTGCAGTATTCATTCTTTGGTGATTATCCTGCCTTGTTCAAAACAACCCCAATCTGCAAAATTGTCATGACTGCCATTAGCTGATGTTAAAGAATGTGAGTGAGTTTAGCATGACTGCCATTAGCTGATGTTAAAGAATGTGAGTGAGTTTAGCTTTATGCCAGTTTAACAATATTCCAGCAATATCATGGTGGGGGTCACCACAAATTGGCTTCACACATTGTACCCATGTGGGGAATTGAACTCAGCGTGACAAGTGAATGTTTTAACCACTAGGCTACCTCCCTAAGGTTGGTTTGTAAGATATGTAAGTCGCCCTTGAAGAATGTGAGCTATGAGCATCTCTCCACAAGTTTTTTACCCAAAGTTTGGCCTAGGCCAGATTCTCCTCGAGGAAAGTTTAGGCCGGGGAAGAAATGGCCTGCTACACCAGGTCGATTCCCCACATAGGTACAATGTGTGAAACCCATTTCTGGTGTCCCCCGCCGTGATATTGCTGGAATATTGCTAAAAGCAGTGTAAAACTAAACTCTATCAACCACTCATATGAATAATTGCTCATAATATCGACCACTGGAATATCCTGTCCAGACCAACTAAACTCATTTGTATGAAAAAGGGTTATTTTGGCTCTAGATCTTTATTTAATGAAATAGTTGTCCATTTTATTGACAGCTCAGATGAAAGTAGAGGTTTTGAGGTTCTAAAAATTGTTACTGCACTTTATATTAACGAATGATACAAATTCCAAAATAAAACATAAATGATTGTCTTGAGTAATTGCAAGGTGCTATAGCTATGAAACAACATCTGATTTCATGTAGGCTTTCAAATCATTGCCTTGGTTAAACAAACTACACTATAGTGTTTCAGAAAAGAATCATCAGGGACTTGATACTCTAAGTATTTGTTAAACTTTGGTTTGAATGTTATTTATTATATTTTTATTAAGCTGTATCAACAGAATTGATTTCATAAAACCTTTATGTCTTATGTCAAAGCTCTGCAGCAATAATATCATGTTCACAACACATTCGTAATCTGACGACTAATCAACATTGATATTTGATGTCATTTGAACCGTACAATACAATGTGTTCAGAAAAGAAATTGATCCTAAATCAATGAATAATGGTATTTCTTTCTCTTGCCATTGAACAAGCGCTAACACTGATATTTCCTACCAAAGTCTCATAATTCTCTTCACTATGGTAGAGCATTGGCAGTGCAATTCGTAGTCCGTTCACATGAAGCCAGATTATTACTCGGGATAAATTTCCTTTACACATTGACCCACAGATTTCCGGCAGAAAAAAATATAACTGTATCATCGCATTAGAGCAGAGTGATTGACTAGTTACTGTGCATCCTTATCGAATGGGGGTGGGAGATAAATTCGTGCCCTCATTCTAAAGGAAATGATGAACTTGTGTGCGGAATTGGAGAGTGGTTTGCTATAAGTGGATAAAAATTGTTGTGAGTGTTAGAACTCAGATCACTTTTACCATGTAAATTTCAGAAATTCCTCTTTGTAAATTGGATTTATTCCTGCTTTTGAATTTGAGCAACGTAGACCTAATGTGATATTTACCATTGAAAATTGGATCCATTCAGTGTCGAACATTTCAGAAAGGCTTATATCTGTCTGTTAGGATTTAAGTGTATCAGTACATTATTTCACTGTGATAAATTTCAATTACTTTGACATCCTCATTTGCAATCAACTTTTGCAAACAACTCTACATCAGATCGCTTGACAGATGTAACAATCAGGGCAGGATGTGCTGATCGCTGGGTTTTTTTACACCTGGTGTCTCCAACTGAATCATGATTGATGAATTAATTTCCTTAAGTCTTTTGTATCGATTGTTTTTTGTTTGTGACAGATTTACAAATATTAATACCATTATTATTTAATCTAAAATGTATGATGTCAGTGGTGAGAATGTCCCTGAGATTCCCATCTAGTTTACTTCTTACACACATTAATTGTTTAACTTTGTCATGCCAAAGACCCGGGTTCAATTTCCCACAAGGGAACAATGTGTAAAACCCATTTCTGGTGACACCGACATGTTACTGCTGGAATACTGTTAAATGCGGCGTAAAACCACTCACTCACTCACTCACTCACTCATTGACACAATGACACAATGACAGAAACACGGGGCAGTTTGTCTGTGTATTCCTGCACATTACTTTTTTTCTAACATGTGAAAGTCTTTTCTTGTAGATAATGGTGGAACATATATATATGTGAATTCTTGTTCATTTCACATGGGATATATTTCATAATATGCTGAAAGTGTTGTCTATTTCAGATGGAGCATGTCTATGTGATTTTATGCACATTTCACATGGGTCTATTTCAGGATATGCTGAATGTGTCCTTGTATGTTTCAGATTGAGCATATTTCACATTTGTGATTTTGTGCTCATTCACATGGACCTATTTTATGATATGCTGAAAGTGTTATTGTGTATTTCAGATAGAGCATATTTGTCAGATTTTATGCATATTTCACATGGGTCTAATCTATGATATGCTCAATGTGTCATTGTTTGTTTCAGATGCAGTATTGGTTTGAGGGACTGCTGATATACATGTCATATCTCATGTCGATAGGTAACACAGTCAATCCAGGTACGTTCATTTCACTTCACTTCCTCATTGTCATCAATAATACTGTCCGCTATGTACAATCATCAGTAGCATTGTGTGTAGGAGATATCAGTTCATCAAGAGTTTGAAGATTTGTTTGACTGATCAAACACCTCCACTCAATCTATTTACATCATTTTGATTAACACCTAATATGGATGTAGTGTAAACAAGAGCAATATCATAAATTGATCAAAAATGTTTTTACCCAATGGGAGCAAGATGATGATCAAACCAACCTTTTGATCAAGTGCGATGACTAATTTGAAGTGATGGATCATCCTTGAAGATAATGATCAAATACAGTGAGACAAAGCATATATCACATAACATATGTTTGTTTTCCATGATGAATGAGTTCTTAAGAAGAATGGTAAATTCATACAGCTGCCTGAAAGCTTCTTTCATTAGTTGCGCCTCAGAAAACTTCTTATTAATTATGGCACATAACAGACAGCAGACTGTCAGATATTATCACTCTGGCAGACAGAATTATATGCATTGTCATGATTATTATGAAGCTTAGATGATTATTCCCTGGTCAAGTCTTTCATAAATATGGCATGAGATGGAACTCAAAGCAGGGACCAGACAATATCACGTTGTTATTTATTTCTTAAGAGTCTCTCAATGACTTTATAATGGCCAGAAACAGATCCTCACTCTCCGCTGATCCGCCGATGAAAGGGGAGACGAGGCTTGTTTTCTTTGATCAGAATACCATTCCACCGTGTGCAATGATTTTTGGATTCTTCTCAACCGATGTGGCCATCGGAAGCTAATGTTTGTTTTGTAGTGATATTATTATCCCTCCTTGGTTTGGTGCAAGTATGATAAAATGAAGTTGTTGTGATGAAAATGGAAAATGACTGCGATGGTTCATTACATACTCTTGTTTCTTTGGATGCTACGAAAATGTAGAGTAGCTTTGTGGAATATAGTATTTTTTTGGTGATATGATTATTTGTTCAGAAAGTATTTTAGATTTTAAAAACAGTGTTTATTAACATTTGATTTATTAATTCAAAATTCAAACTTCATCTGACAAGGTATTACTTTTTCATGAAACTTACAATAAAATTCAGTTCCTCCTTTTTGATTTTATAGCCCATTGGTGCAGAAATAACTTCAATATTTTATTGCAAGAAATGTCAGAACAAATTTTGATTTCATATGCAATGAATATCAGAAATAGAAGCTGTGACCTCAAACAACACCCATCAGGGAGAAATGATACGGAAGGAAAGATTCTGTGGTGACCATGAAGTAACCCAACAATATAGGTAGCTAAGGTTGTGGTGGGGTAGCCTAGTGGTTAAAGCATTCACCAGTCACACCGAAGACCCAGGTTCAATTCCCCACATGGGTACAATGTATGAAGCCCATTTCAGAGTGTCCCACTATTATATTTCTGGAATATTGCTAAAAGCAGCAGAAAACCATATTCACTCATTCGCATAAACTTATTTATAGAACAAAATGAGAATTGCACACTTAATGGTAATGTCTTTACCGTGTTGACACTAAGTAACGTCAAAAGAACAAACACTTCACAATCTAAACCTCGTGAAGAATTGTCGGGTTCATGTGGATGGTATCATTTTACCAATAATATGGTAGACGTTTATTGATTCCAAGATAGGAATAATTACGTTCCAAATGTGGATTAGATTGAAGTGACTTCGACTGTCGAGGCAATTACAGGAACCTTATATCTTTCACAATCAACAGTATATTTTTAGAAGTATTTTGTTCCATCTGTTTTTAATAACTTTGATTTGAAGGAAGAAACAACTTGAACTTTTGTTTTCCAGAAGGAATTATCTGGTATGCAAGCATACTAGCTGGCACCATGTAAAATGATCTCCTTTTTTCAGTTTATCATAGCAGTATTACTTGGACCTTTCTTTCTAACTAGACAACCCCATGAATATCGGGTTAGAATTGGTCTTCAGCAACCTATGCTTGTCATAAGACTGACTGACTGACTGAGTTTGGTTTTACGCCGCTTTTAGCAATATTCCAGCAACATCATGGCGGGGAAACCAGAAATGGGCTTCACACATTGTACCCATGTGGGGAATCGAACCTGGGTCTTCGGCATGACGAGCCAACGCTTTAACCATTAGGCTACCCCACCGCCCCCTTGTCATAAGAGGCTACACTAACATGATCGTGTGGTCAGGATTCTGACTTCCTTGATAAATGTCATCGTATCCCTGTAGTGTAGATCATTCGTATGCTGGTGATCACTGGATTGTCTGGTCCAGAATCCATTTTTCACAGACGCCACCATACATCTGGAATACTGTTGAATGCAGCTTTAAACATCAAACCAACCAACCATCTAATCAAAATGTAAAACTAAACACATATATTAGCACATACATCAATTTTCTGTAATCTAGAAACAACAATCTTCTGACCAGATACAGCGCTATGTCAACCACTGCCATCTATTCCAGTTCCATTATTGACAAAATATGTTTAAACACTCTCACAAACAAAGTCTGACTGTCGCCATTGCTCCTTCTTACAGTGTATCATCTGTCTGTTATTGTTCACGTTTCCAAATGGACGTAAAATTAAATGGTTTCTGGAAGCAAAAGGTCTGCATAATTGAAAGGTCACGGTTTACTTCTTCGACAGGCCCAGATGCTCATTTCGCCCAGTAATCCTGGTTTTGTGTTTAAGAAGAGAAATAAAACACTACGGAGGAGACAAGAGGATGTCATTCCGTGGCAGGCAAGGATCTCCTTGCTCAACCACTGAGGACAAAGACATTACCAGGCCTTTAAGTTTTCCTTGCAGCTTTCAATTTGAGCCCTCTCTTGCTGCAGGGGTTTTGGGGGTAATTGGGTCAAATTTGGAATGGTAAACAGAAGTGTGGCTAAGTTTATGGAGTACTTGCCTCAGGCTTGTTGATGGATCCAGTTCTGGACGAAAGGTTTTTGATGAAATCAGATACAAATTCTTGTTCTTCTTAGTGTCAGCTGATGCTTTCATTCTTCCCGTCATCTTTACATCCGATCAGTTGTTTTTGAGATACTTTTTGTGTCAAGGGACACAAAATGTCTGAATACACTTGGGTCAAGAAATACTCAGTGTGAAGAAAATAGATTTTGATAATGGTGGTGCTTATTATATTACTGTTCCAAATAGTATTAGGTGTGTTACCAGAACCAGTTTAGGCTGGAGGGGTTGTCGTGAGGATAGATATTAATTATGGTAACAACGACTCCTTCAGTGTTATTATTTGTTTATCGTTTATTGTGAGACAGGTTTGGTTGTTCAGTTCTCACATTGTGTCAACAGACCATACCTCCTGGTTCTATTGCCCACATGGGTACAATGTGTGAAGCCCATTTCTAATGTCTCAAACTGTGATATTGCTGGAATATTTCTAAAAGCGTCTGAAACTAAACTCAAACATGTCATCAAAGAACAATTTCCTTGTATTTTAACACAGTGAAGCAGATATGTCAAGGAAAGGAATTGGGAAACTGCATGATTCACTGTACAGAGTTGCCTCCCTTAGACTTTCCAAAATCCTACCCTCAAGCATTTGATCCTATTTTGACCTTGATCAGGCCTACCAAAGAGAACTTTCCCACTGTGCAGATAAACGCAGAAAAGCCCACATTAACCGTGGAAATAGCAACATAAACATAATACCTCGCTACTGAAACAGTACAGACGGCAACTAAAAACTATGAAACGGCAACTTTTTTTATTTCAGCGAACTTTGACCTCTACTGCACATGCGCATTACGATCCGCGCTCCTTTCAAACTTCCGAGCAGCCGTGAATCGCCTCGCGTAGAAAAAGTATTAAATGTGTCGAAATAATTGCTGTCAATCATTTCATACAAATGGAAAGTAAACTAAACAAGTGTGCACACAAGTATCATGGTGATAAATGCCAAATAACACAACAGAAATACTTAAAAAGGAATGTAACTTTTGTCCAAGCTGGAAAATATCAACATGCAGTCAAGACTTCCTCTTCCATGTGCGCATGCGCAAAATCGAAGTTGCAGGCTCTTCATTTTTTTATGCTGTTAGCGATTTAAAGTTGCCGTTGTTACTGTTTCAGTAGTGGGGTATTATGTTTATGTTGCTATTTCCACGATTAATGTGGGCTTTTCTGCGTTTTTCTGCACAGTGGGAAAGTTTTCTTTGGTAGGCCTGTTGATCATGTCTCTTGGTTTGTGGCACCAAACTCACTGGTTCCACTAGAGTGGTAAAGTGGTCTCCTTCAAGCTGACTGATCAGGGGATCCAGATCCAGGGGCATGGGGGTCCTTCCCACAAGATTTCCTTTTCCTGCTAACCTTTGGACTTCATGATTTATGTGCAACCCCCTTCTCCAAACTGCTGGATCCGCCCCTGCTGATGTATGTGAAATGCTGACTTATCAGTATCAAGACAAACACACTCTTTCTCACATTATGTAGAGGTTTATCAGAATTTAGTATCCAGCACATTCAGGTATCGCAGGTTTCGGTTGTAATTCATTAACATGCATTCTCTTCCCACAGAGGTTACTTGTCATATCTTCCTACGAACCTCTGTTCTAATACGGCCATATCTTCCTACGAACCTCTGTTCTAATACGGCCATATTTCCCGGTTCTCGTAAAATCCCCTAGCGGCAAAAGATCGCAACACGAATTATCTCCCTTCTTTCTATCCAATCAGAACACGTGTTACATCGACTTAGATTCAACTTGACTAACACAAGCAAATGTGGGGCCACAAATATCCCCCATCTGCCGGGGACTTGTGTTGATATTACACACAAGACGTTTAATGGCTAGCTTGTCCGTTGTCAACGAGGGCGATGGAGACGCCACTGATCCGCCATAACATGACTGAGTTCTGTCTAGAAGAAACGTTTGCGCATCGCACAGGGGAAGAGGTTTAGATTTCTCGAAGCATACGGAAATTACCGAGGCCTTGCGAATGATCACTTTTGAAACAAC